AAAGGTGTACCAGAATCCCACTTTATATTTCTGAACCTAATATCCGTGAGTTATTTTGGGTGCTTACACCCCACATTTTCCTTTCTCATCCCCTTCATTTCTTTCCAGATATACTGGTCCTACTTCTTTTCAGACCCCCACGGGAATCCATTGTGTTTGCAAATGTCATAGTTGAAAATTGTCACTTAAGAAATTGATGTTGCATTGAATGAAGAGTACCGTATCATTCCAGGTATGGGTGAGTTTGGAGATCGTTACTTTGGAACAGATGACTGATCCATTTTTGGCGAGTACAGATTGTTCCCAGTATGTCTTCCACAATATTCTGAAAAGACAATTGGGCTATTGGTTTTTAACCATGTAAACCAACTGCCAGCTAAGCCCGGGGACAGCATCAAATGTTTCAAGCTTTCAGCGTAAGTCAAGTACAATAAATGAATTTCGAATCATTGGTTGCCTTCATGCTTCTTTAAATTCTTCTTTCTTTTATGATTAATATAATGGATATTGTCAATGTATCAAATCTGCTGGTACTTGAACTTAATTTTTCTTGTGAAGAGTTGGATGATGTTTGCCACTAAACTTGTTTTCTTCAATCTTTAGAAGTGAAGATGTTTTGAGATTGGCTATACATTCCATTATCAGATTATTTATGTTACAAAGACAATATTAAAGCCTTCATTCTCTTCAGCTTCGTCTATCTTCTTCAAAGCGAGCTAACTCCACTGAGACAAGCATATTTCATGTCATCGATGAATCGGAAATGAGCAAGCCACTGGGAATTCTTAAAGACCAATGCCCCACATCTCCCCAAAATCCAGGGAGTAATGCTGGCATAAAGCCGCATCTTGATAAGTTTCCCTGATGGATCTGTCAGGCTTCTCTTAATTTTTCAGAAGTGCATCTCTCTCAGATTTTATGCAATTCTCTTGAAGATTGCCATGGCAAGATACAAGTCTGATGTGCTTTAGCCTTTAGGGCCTTGGCAGAACAATCCTGATAGAAGTACAAAGGACAGAAACTGAAATGGAGGTAATGAATGTTTCATGATTGTCTTCAACTCTCACTTCTATGTTACTCAGAGATTAGGGTTTAAAATATACAAGAACGATGAATTCTCCATCATTTTAATTTGACTCATCTTCTTTATCTTTGCCCCAGACAGTGGGATGGTGTCTTGGCTAACCAAATTATTTTTTTTCTCAATGTAGATATTACGTGATGGAAATTTTCCCCCTCTGTTCCCTTCTAGATCAGCAGTCAAAGGTAACATTTTATATTTGCTTATTCAGTCAGAGCACTTATTCACCATTCCATACGACGATGGACTAATTTTTTTTATTTTGAGTAGAATTCTTGACATTCTGCCAAATAGGTTCCTCCCGGGATCCCCTCGCCGTCCCCATCCCTATACCTATTAATGGTGTATATGAGTCCCTGCTAAATATTAAATTGTAAAATTTAACCTTGTTTTCAATAACTAAAGTTTATAACGTTGTTTATAGAGTAATTTATGGGGTGTAAAAATAAAAATTTACAAAAATGAAAAGTACGTAAAAATTTTCACAAACACCTTAAAAGGATATTACATAAACAAATAAAAAGAGTAGAAATTTAAAACTAACAAATACATAAAATCCAACAAATCCATAAAAAACAACATACAGAGGATAAAACTTTGAAATAAATTATGGGTCTCTTCCTCATTCTGTAAGAAAAAATATTCTTTGAATCTCTATCATTATGGCGGAAATTTCTGCTGAACCCCCGTGAGTTTTTCAAAGCAAATTGTTGTCCCAGGTATTTCAATAAATTATGATTTCAAAGTCCTTTTTTTTTTTCATATTCCAAATATATTGGATTTGTATTAAATAAGGGTCATTATCATTGACACCAAGGCCACCCGGCAAGTGCTGATGGTCACCATCTTAAGGTGGTGAAACTGAAGAAAGTTGATTACGAAAGCCATCCAAGGAATGTTTATCTGGCATGATGGCTTGAGTCTAGGTTCTAAGGATAATCACTGTTGCTATAATGCAATTTCCATAAAGAATGATGAGAAACTGAGAATTGCAATTGACAGATAATTTTGATGACATGTTGGTTCTGAACGAGTACTCTGAACCAAAACTTTGGTTGGATTTCTTTGGTCTAGTGCTAATGTAGATAGAAAATTCAAGTTGCTTAATTTCCATGAAGGAGTCCAAGTCTTTGGCAAAGTTTCTTTTATCGGTAATGTGAAAAGAGAAAATATTTTCTTGGGTTCAACGTAGTTAAGTCTTCAAATTTTGTTCCAGATCTCATTGTTTCTTTCACCCTAAGTTGCAACGAAGCTTCCCACCCGAATTCCATTGACCCAGGCTAACGGTCCATCATCGGTAGTTAATATTTGAATGTCAAACATGGATTTTGGGTAAAGTGAACAACTAGTATTACATGACAACAGGGAAGGCAATATTTTGCTAGATTACACAATCCAATCACATTGACTATCTCCATGTGACGGGCAATGCATCCGTACGGATCAAAATTTAGTCAAGGAAGGCAGACTTGTTGGATGGCAAAGCACATGCAAGACAGATAATGTTGACTTACTGACGTAGTGAATACGCAGAAAGTTTAACCTCAGAATCCTCTATATATTAATTGATTCATGCTTGCTTGGTGATCAGCTAGAATTCTATACAATCAGTTCTTACATCATTAGAAATGGGTCATTCTGTTTCTTCCATTGAGCTTCTTTCTATTGTGCTGTTGGTTTCAGGGATTTTGTACCCCAAAACCATCAGCTTTGCTTTTTGCCAGAGTGACGTTAATGCCAGTTGCATTCCATCTGAGAGGGAAGCACTCATCAAGTTCAAAGAAGGCCTGACAGATCCTTCCAATCAACTCTCATCCTGGGTTGGAGAAGATTGTTGCAAATGGAGAGGAGTGAGTTGCAACAACAGAACCGGTCATGTTTTCATGCTCAACCTCCGAAACTCAAATGCAGAGGACCTTGAAGGCAGTGGAGCTATGGACACATTGGGTGGTGAGATCAAGCCTTCTCTTCTTCACTTGAATTATCTGAATTACTTGGACTTGAGCGGGAATAATTTTGGAGGTATCGCTATTCCTAACTTCATTGGATCACTAAGGACGTTGAAGTATCTCAACCTTTCTGGTGCATCTCTTGGTGGAGTTATACCTCCTAGTTTTGGAAACCTCTCAAACTTGAATTTTCTTGATCTTGACAACAGTCTTGGTGAATCAAATGAGAGTGATCTCAGATGGCTTTCCAGTCTTTCTTCTTTGAAATATCTTAATTTGAAAGGTTTTGATCTGATCAAGGCCTCAGGATATTGGCTTGAAGCTGTTAATGTGCTGCCTTCTCTTAAGGAGTTGCATCTGCCCAGCTGTAGACTTTCCAATCTACCCAGCACTTTGCCGTTCATTAACTTCACATCTCTTCAGGTGCTTGACCTCTCCAACAATGGCTTCAACTCTACAATCCCATATTGGTTATTCAACATCAGCAGCCTTCAATATCTTGATCTCAACTCCAACGATCTCCAGGGTCAGCTTCCATCATTTGAAAGCATGAAAGGTCTGGGGAATCTGTGCAATTTACATACGTTGATCCTTTCTACCAATGACGTTAGCGGGGAAATAATTGACTTCATTGATGGTTTATCCAGATGCAATAGCAGCAGCTTAGAGACATTGGATTTGGGATACAACGAATTTACTGGAAAGCTGTCTAGTTCCTTGGGATATCTCAAGAACTTGAGAAACCTTCAACTTTCGCATAACTCATTTCAAGGTTCAATTCCAGCGTCAATTGGAAATTTGTCGTCTTTGGAGCAGTTCTACCTTGCGGATAATAAAATGAATGGTCTTACAGAAAGTGTGGGGCTACTCTCAGCACTGGTATATTTAGATCTCTCTGA